CACCTGTCTGTGTGTCTGTGTGTCTGTGTGTGTGGTGCTGTTTCTCCAATTGAGTCGGATGCTATGTAACCCTGTCGACTTGTTGCCTAGGTGCTATGGCAACTAAAGTGAGAAGGCATGACACGCGTGTCCATCCTTACCAAAGGATTGTGACAGCAGACAGAGGTTAGTTTAGACCTTAATGACTCTTCATTCGGGGGGAGGGGGGGGCTGGGTTTTTTTTTGTCATTTGTGCTGTTTTTCCTGACTTGTTCAGAAATATCTGTGGTATGCAAATGTTTACAGTGATGGATAGATCCATTGACACAGTTGTTACGCTGAGTTGAACGCTCAGGTTTGTCTCTGTAAAAGGTTTTCTTCAGTTTACATTCTGTGCTGGTGCAGTCAGGCTGTAAATGTCACAGGCCTGAGCCAGACGGCCACCAGGCCTCCTGACGTTCCTCCTGTACGGACGCAGTGCAAACACGCTAATTAAAGCCAGCAAAGCAATTGGACATTCATTCACTATCTGACCAACATTTCCCCCTGGATCTGACGTGCACGTGTTTGTAATGACATGGACACACTCTGATCTGCATACAGTTTACAATTTGCCTTCTATGAATTTGTACACATGGGAAAAATATTTTTGTACTATATTTCAGTTGTGCAAGGGTACTGTCATTTAGTATACTGACATTTTCTGAGATGTATTTATGGCATCTGTATATATAAATATCTAGCTGACCAGAGGGCAAATAAAGCGAGCTGGAAAAGCCGGTGGAGCCTCGACTGCTGTTTGGCACATGCAGGGTCACTCACACTACAGCATTACTGTGTTTGTGTTACGCTTGGTGCTGCTTCCTCTGCTTCCTCTCAGCGGGAGCTGCGGTGTCGTGCGCGGCTGATTGGAGGATGAGGGACTCACATTCCAGTCATAACATGATTATAACCAGATTAGCCTTTTTCTTGGAAGGGGAATTTAAAACCATGAGATTTCATTCATTTTACTGTCAAAATGATGTCATTCAAGTCTCTTCTTGCTGACACTAATATCCTTTCTATCTGTTTTTTGTTTTGTTTTTTTGTTTCTAACCACCTAGCCGCCACCGGCAACTAACACATGACCTTCTGACCTCTGAACTCTTCACCCAATGACGAGCTGCCCCCCAGCCTGCCTGCTGATCAGTTAACTGGTAACTGGCTTTGCTAGCCTCTCGGACCCCGTGAGAAAGGCATCTACTCGCAGTTACCCTAACTACAACAACAACCACAGCAAGCCCTACAGAAACTCTCATTTCACTATCAAATTGTTTTGGTATCAAATTTTTTTCCCTTTCTTTTTCTTTAAGTATCTCCCTGCAAATTGGGTGGGTTTATCACTACCCAAGAACCTGCACTGATTTTGAGCAATAAAACCCCCAGCCCTACCCCTCACTATCTGTTCGCTCCACTCATAGTAATAAGACGTTGCCAACCTGGAATTGAGTCTACATTTCTAGGCTAGTCTTTTGGCTCGATATGATGGTTTCGACCCCATCCGCTCATCCCCCCCCCCCCCCCCCCCCCCCCCCCCCCATCCGCTCATCCCCCCCATCCCAGTCCCCATAGCCTGCAGAGGGACACCTGAAAGAAAAAGAAAAGGGCAAAAAAAGCAGCGGCGCGTCTCTCTGGTTGTCATTGTACTTGTTTCCTGACGCGCTGACCCTTTATTTTGAAGGGCTGACACATTCTGGGTGTTGCCTGAATTGGCTGACTTTTAAAGCATGGCTCATTTGATTGCAGAGCTTACTGTGTTCTTTATGTTGGTTTTTCTTTTGTTTATTTTAAATATTTTGTTTTACATTGGAAATGTGGTGACCTGGGTATTAATGTATGTACTGAGATCAGTGAAGGTGAAATGGGCCCCCTCATCTCAGTGCGGTGTCTGGGAACCCTGGGCATCTCCACTAAACCCTTTCACATGTTGGTATTCAGTGCCTGAACTACATGTCTATACATCTCATGTCACAGCAATCCCATCTCGATCAATATGGAAAAAGGTGTGTGTTTCATTTTGCCGACGGTCTGCGTGATGTGTTGGGAGGTTCTCTGCAGTCGCGCTGGGGTCGCTGTGATGTGAGTGTCCTACCAAGACGCGTAAACAGAAACACTACACAGGGAGGAGCCTGATGCCCAAGTATGGATTTGTACAGAATTCTTGAATTTAATTTTTTCCCTTTCCTTTACAAGAAGGAACCGGTAAACGTCCAATGATCTGACAGAACGTGGCGTTTAGCGTGCTCTTCTTGGAGGGAGACTACATATAAACACTTCCTGTATCACACATGACAGAGCTGAGATGGGGCAGACGGCCCGGCGGCTGGTTTCAGCTTACGGGCTCTTCTGTCTGTCACGTCTCAGTGCATTAAAGTGCGTATCTTAGCCAGCTCCGCCTGACGTGTCCCCAGCACACTGTGCTCGTCTCTGCTGAGGGAGGGCTCTCAGAGGCCCCACCCCTAAACATATTTCATTTCTCGTGAAAAACTAGGATTTGAAAGCCATGCCTGCCTGTTCTAATTGCTTTATACATACCTGTTCTATATATATGAATATATCTATATAAATATCTAAATGTACACATGTAGATACCGGCATTGCGGACAAACGGACAAGAACAAAATTAGATACTTTTACAGGGTGCTGGTGAAAAATATATTTTTGGCAATTTTAGCTTTTTGTACTTGCGATTATAAAATAGTGTAAAAAAAAAAAAAATTGTTTGAAAAGGAAAAAAGTTTAAAAAAGTGAACTTGGATGTTATTGGCTTAGAAAGTAAAGACCAAAATGGCTGCACGTGGAAGGGAGAAGCGAAGGACCCATGCAAGGGAGAGAGGGAGCCAGAAAAAGTGCCTTATCGATGGTCATTTGGTTTTCCTGGCATATCCAGCACCTCGCCGAGGGCAGCGTTACGGTCACTCTATGCAAAAGAATAGCAGTCACTCGACAGGCTAATGCGTGCCATGTTCCGTCTTCCCAAGGATAGGTCGGCTTTTTTATTGTTTTTAGACCCCCACCACCACCACCTTAGTCCTTTAATATGCCATTTGAACAAATATACTCTTATTTTTTTGTTGGATTAAGTTTGAAGGTTATCATTCACACATGTGTGTGTCTGTTACTTTGTGTGTGTTTATACTGCGAACAAACTGCCAACTGTGATGCAGGAGTCTGCCACAAGGAGGCGACGGAGGAGGAGGCGGAGCGCAGAGCGAGACAGGGAAGGGGGCGGTGACCCCGCTGTGGGTCACTGGCTCTGTGCCCTCTCGGGATGGGGAGGAGGGGGGCAGCCTCGTGCTGTGGGGGGGAGGGATGTATTTGAGACACCTGAATCATTAGAATATTTGCCAAAAATTGAAAGGTTTGGGAGATAAAACCATGCCAGATTTCCCCCAGTGCAAGTAAACACTTTGTGTTCCATGGTGACGCTGGAAGTCAGTCAGTGTTATTCCTCTTCGCCTCCCTGCTGGGGCCCGGAACGGGACCCCCGTCTCGCAGGTTCCATAGAGTTCCTGATGCATCTCCATCTCTGGCAGGCCCACACATTATATCATGTGTGTGTTCTATTACATGCTGTTACACAACAGGTCAATGCTTGGTTTTTTCAGTGTTACGAACTCAAAATGCAATATTAAAAGGAACGCGCGAGCAATTGACAGTATTATCCTCCCTCTCAGATGGCTGTGTCACCAGCCAGGAGATGGCGTCAGCTGTTGGAGAGTAATGGCACTCAGACTCTGACCTGCCTACTCTGTATGATAATGTAATTAACAGCCATTGTTACAGGTTTCAAATGTATTTTTCTAACTTCATTTTATATGTATATTAATCATTTTCTGAATCCTTTTTTTCTGATGAAGCCCAATGCAGGTTTGGTTTTTTTTTTTTAGGTTGAAACTGAACACCCCCCCCCCC